AGTAGACCCCGGGTTTCACCATGTTGGCCAGGCTGGTCTCAAACTCCTGACCTCAGGGGATCTGCCCGCCTTGGCCTCCCAAAGTGCTGGGATTACAGGCATGAGCCAACATGCCTGGCTGGTTTTTTTTTTTTTTTTTTTTAAGATACTGTTTGTAATGTTAAATTTTTATAATGAAGCTATGATAGGCAGCCAAAGGAAATTTCAAAAATAATTTTAAAACGTTTAGTACAGTGGTAGCATAATTTGGGTATTTAGCTTCTCAAGTTTAAGACTTAAGTTTTGTTTGGATTTGTCAGATCTAACATAAATTTGTTTTTAGAAAATGAGCCATAATGTCTTTGATCATTTCTTAAGCTATTAGGTTCTGTGAAATAATCTCATTATGTTCTGGTTAGACAAATTTTGAGTCTGTAATCTTGAGTGTAACATCTGAAGACAAACAAATGGATAATAATGCAAGTTGACTAGAAAGACTGCTAGAATAGTAAAGATTTTCAGGATTGTTTAATATAATGAGTATATTATGAAGAAATTAAGGGAAAACAGGTAGGAAACACAAGCAACTTTTGTGTGTATAAAAATCTGCTCCGTTTTCCTAATATCTTCTCTGATCTTTCCCCTATTATAAATACTCTTCCTACCATACTTGCCACCTCTCTTTCTTTTACTGTCTTTCCCACGTCTCTTCCCCAATCCTTTCCCCTTCCTTTTTCCTAGTTTTTAATTGAGCATTGAGTGTGCCAGGAAGCATATTAGGCTTTGGTGGGAAGGTCAGCATAATAGACATGAAGGCTATAGTCCAGAGTTTGTTGTGCTTAATGGGAAAATTTAAGTATTAATTAAATAACCATGCCAAAGATGATATAGTTATAAACTACATGTTCTATGGAGTTTGAAGAAGTGACATTTAAGTTGATTTCCAAAGTCAGTCAGATAACAAATATTTATTGAGTACTTATTGCATGCCAGGTACTGTTTTAGGATGGGACATAATGTGTTGGAATTTTGTATGTGTGTTTATTTTTTATTAATATATTTCAGCATCACAAAGTGAAAAGCACCTCAACATATCCTGTTAGAATAATGAGCACTCGTCTTGTGTATATAAGTATCACCCTGAGTAGGACTTCACTGGCGTAACTGTATTTTATGATTTTTTTTTTTTTTTGAGACAGAGTTTTGCTCTTGTTGCCCAGGCTGGAGTACAGTGGGACGGTCTTGGCTCATTACAACCTCTATCTCCTGGATTCAAGTGATCCTCCTGCCTCAGCCTTCCAAGTAGCTGGTATTTTAGGTGCACACCACCACGCCTGGCTGTTTTTTGTATTTTTAGTAGAGACGGGGTTTTGCCATTTTGACCAGGCTGGTCTTGAGCTCCTGACCTCAGATGATCCACCTGCCTCAGCCTCCCAAAGTGCTGGGATTACAGGTGTGAGCCACAGCACCCGGACATAACTGTAGTTTAGACGTTAAGTAGGCCTTTTAAAGGGTTTACCTATACAAAATAATCAAAGATATAACAGAACTTCAAAGGAAATAAAACGTTAGCCTCTTAAAATTACATGGTGAGAAAAAGCTTCAAAAACGAATATTTCCATGTTGAGCTGAAATGAACTACAATTAGAATCTTATGCTTTCTTTTACAGCCTTAAATGGATATTGCTTACAAAATTGAAAAAATGATGCTTTTATAAACATTAAAGCCAGTCATAAAATGCGTGGCAATTAATAGCTTCTTTCTTAGTCTCTTCATACAAATACTAGTGAACTGTTTATTTTCTCTCTGTTGTACAAACCAAATGGCCAGTGCAGTTGATATCAGATGGAGCCCTTTTTTTCTTAACAAAATTACTGAAGCATACACAAACTTAATACTTTTAGAGAATTATGGGAGTATGAAAGGGAAATTTTGAGTTTTGAAGTCTTTACCACTAGAAAGTTCTAAGATATTAAAAGGTATTTTTTTTAACTGATGAAAAAATGTTTATGTGCAGAAAAAGATATTTTTGTTGTGGAGGCAAGTAATTGTGCTTCATACTGGAATCCTTTTGAATTTATGTTATTTTCCCTGTGAAGAGAAACCAGGAAGAAGAAAATCCTATGACACTAATATATCATCCCACGTGCTTTCAGATGATTTCTTTTTGTGTGGGAACTTCTAAGCAATCACACTATTGCCATGATAAAATTCTTTTGGGTGGTTGAGTATCTTTCCTTCATTCCTCTTCTGGTAGACTCAGTAAAGTTAGCTAGAGAGATCAGTGATCACCAGAGAGTGAGCTGTGCGACTACACCTTAAATCCAGGTGGTCCAAACACGGTTTATTCTTATCCCCTCTCAGGGGAAGGGAACTCATGAATGGAGTGGCACGCATCTTCTCTGAAGGCAGTTATGTCTATGCTGTTTTCTTCTCATGGCCAACTTAGGTAGTCTCTATCTGTTCATAAGAAGATTCGTAATAAAAATAAACAATGCAAAAAGGAATTAATGAAATCTTATTTCTCTGCCACACAAAAGTGAAGTGATAGCTCTCAGTGTAAACCAAACGATCTGTAAATAGTCTGGAATATCTTTGTGACTCTCTTTACAAATGACAAACCTCAGAGAACTGCCAGCTGTGTTTTCCACGAAAGTTACTGATCACAGATTGAAATTTGGCGTATGTTGTAAAGGTAAAGTTGACATATCGGATGTGGACATGTGTTAGATAATTTCTACAGTTCTTTGTTTTCCTTGAGCAGCTCAGTAGATCATGGTGCCATTTATTTATATGCGGAAGACATGGAGAGGATCAGATTAGGGAAAATTGGTAGTTTTGTTTTGGCCATGGTAACTTTGAGATGTCTGTTAGATGTGAAAGAAGTTATATTGAAATTACTGGTGGCCAAGGGAGCACTTGGGACAACAGTGTCAACTCTGAATATTCCTGAAATTCCCAGGCAGAGCAATGCATTTCTTTTTGTGTTGTTATAACATCTTTTATCCTTTAGATTTTTTTTCATAATATTTATTATATTGCTCTGATTGTTGGTGTGTTTTTTTTTCCCTAAGGTCCAGGATCCTGTTGTGTTTCTCTATCAGCTTCTGGTACATAATAGATAATAAATGATGAATGAATTATATTTACATTCTTTCACCAGATCCTTTTTGTTTTACCCGTCAAGTCCATTTCTTTCTGTTCCCATTGCCTTAGTGCTGGTTCTCATCATCTCATTAGAATCAGGGCATTTAAATTGATTTTTTTTTAAGCAGCAGAACTCATTTTCAAATAAACTAAATGGAAAACGCTCAGTATATGAGGGTATCAATTAGGAATTGGGTTGGGCACTGTTAATAAGAGACCTACCTGACTATAATGGCTTAAGTGTAAAAGAGTTTCTTTTTCTCACATAATGATTAGTTGGGAGGTAGATGATTTTGGAATTGAATCGGTGGTTCAAATATATCAGTCAGAATGTCTTGAGACATGGGTTCTTTACCTCCTAGGAAAGGAGGGTGATGCTGAATTTAAACAGAGCAGGGAATTTAAATAGGGTATAAAATATGGCATGATATTATTTAAGTGTAAGGAAACTTAAACTTTGTTTAAACTGTTAAATTGAATAGATTGATGATAATTTTAAGATAAAAAGGTGAGTATAAAGGTAAAAGAGCATAAAGAAGTCATTTCAGCAGTCTAGAGGAATGTGACTGGGCTACACACCACGGATTCTAATAAGAGCAGAAAAAATAGGCAGATCTTAGAGGAGTTATGGAATAAGTAGATAACTGGTTTTGAAATTAATATAAAGAGAAAGCTGGGTGTGATGGCTAACGCCTGTGATCCCAGTACTTTGCGAGGCTGAGGTGGGCAGATGACTTGAGGACTAAAGTTTGAGACCAGCCTGGCCAACATGGCGAAATCCCGTCTGTACTAAAAATACAAAAATTAACCAGGCATGGTGGTGCATACCTGTAATCCCAGCTACCCAGGAGGCTGAGGCAAGAGAATCACTTGAACCCAGGAGGTAGAGACTACATTGAGCCGAGATTGCACCACTGTACTCTCGTGGCGCAATCTGCCTGGGTGACAACTCTGCCTGGGTGACAGAATGAGACCCTGTCTCAAAAAAAAAGAAAAAAGAGGGAGAAGAGGTATTAAGACAGATGATTGACTTCGGGCTTTTAAGCCTGCTGAACTGGCAGGATGGCGGTACTGTTAATGGTGATGAGAAAATGGGAGAAATCGTATGGATGTACAGTAGCAGATTATTGACATTTGTGTTACAGGAAATCACAGTCTGAATAGAAAATGGTCAGAATGGCTAAAATGGTGACCTATTGTTTTCTTAGAATAAGGGTAGTAAACACAGAATGGGAAAATTCTTCAAGGCCTTTCTTGAAGAATATGACTTCGTGTTGAAACATAAAGTCATAACCAATCAGCTGGGACTTAATTTGTGTTGATCTGGGGGAGTTTATGAAGGTGCCAAAGAATTACAGTTTATTCAGCTTTTATGTGTTATTAATGTGAACTTTTTGATAGTTGGAACATTTTGATCCAATTTTCTCTTTGGTGCTTTTACCTAATACTATTCTAAAATAGGCTAATTTTAATAAATATTTAGCAATGAAACATTCTTTGTGTTTAACTTCAAATTAAATGTTATAAACTTACTTTAACATCTAAAGTCCATTATGTTTGAGTATTCTGGTAAATTAAACAAGCTAATAACCTTTTTTTTTTAAGGTACAGCAGGGAAGAACTGGAAATTCAGAGAAAGAAACAGCACTTCCCTCTACAAAAGCTGAGTTTACTTCTCCTCCTTCTTTGTTCAAGACTGGGCTCCCACCAAGCAGGTTAGTTACATAGTTGTAACTCAATTATTATAAGACATTGGTATCTTTACATTGTATTTGTGCTATATTAAGTATAAAAGCTCTGAATGTTCTACCAAAAAACTGGAACATTCTACCTTGTTTTAGTACAAAATGAATTCTTCATGAGAAACTTCTTGGTGTTCTTCCGTCTAAAAAGCCTAGGTAAGCAAGAAATGAAATGTGATATATAGTTATGTGTATGTTTAAAGAGACAATCTTACATTCAAGAGAGGTGGTAACAACAATAGTATTAGCTGTTTCCTCTGCTTATTATTCTTACATAATAAGGAATTATTGGACTTCTAAGTCTAGATCTATTGGCTTAAAGGTGTTTTGCTGATTTTAGTGAAAGAGGCTATTGAAATTTTGGCTTGGAAAAATCTTTAAAACTGGAACCATTTTTTGTTGTTGTTTGGTTTGATGTGATGATACCTAATATATTCCAGAAGATATCAGATGTAAGAGGCAAATATGCTAGAAAATGTACTTTTTACTTAAATGTGACAAATAGTTACCCTATTATGTCATTACCAGGAAACTGCTAAAGGATAGTAGGCTCAGACTAGCAAAATTTGAGGTCAGTAGTTTAATATTGGACTAGATAAGATGACTTAAGTCTGGGCCTGAAACAAATTAATAACCCACCTATTACTAGTCCTTGGCCAGATCACTTATCTTTTGGGTTACTTGTTTAAATTTGTTTTATATAACTTTGTTTTTGTTATTCTGCAGTTTTGTATTGCTGTAAGAGCTATTTCAGAATAATCTAATACAGGAAGGTGCCTTATAGTAGCATCTAGTCTAGCTCTAAGATAAAGATTTTTGAAGCTTTCAGCCAAAATTAAATGTCATAAAGTGATCCAGTATTTTTGTGAATAGTCATAGATAAAATGAAATGTGATTGTTTGAACTAAATATAATCTCATAAAATGTTTGGTTAAAGAATGATAGCTAAGCTTTTAATATATAGTAATATATTGTATTTTAATATGTAGTATTCTTTTGGAATGTCCATTTTTTAAGACTTCATTCATTCAGTTTATGGTATTCTACAATATAGAGTGATGGTAACAGCTTGGACTCTGGAGTCAGATTTCTGGAGTTCAAATACTGGCTCTGCAGCTTAATAGCTGTGCTGTCATTGGGCAAATTCCCTAATCTTCTTATGCTTTGATTTCTTCATCTGTAAAATGTAGTAGTAATACTTCTCTCACAGTGTAGTTATATACATTCAGTGGACTCATTTATGTAAAGTGTTTTAGAACAGTGCCTGGTACCTAGAAAATACTCTAGATGTTTGCTTTTATACTTAAACTCTTTAAAAATCAATAGTTTTTCTGTACTTCACCTTTTATTTTTTGTTGTTGAGTGGCTTTTCAGAATTTGGGCCAGATTATATAGGGTTGTGAGTGCCATTATAAAGGCTTTGGTTTTTCCTATAAATTAAATAAATGGGGACTCACTGGTGGATTTTGAGCAGAGCAGTGAAATAATCTGATTCAGGTTTTTAAAGTTTCAAGTTACCATAGTTGCTTTTCTAAAAACAGACTACAGAATTACTTAGGGTGGGTGAAAACAGGGAGGACAATTCGGAGGTTGCAGCAATTATCTAGGAAGAGGTAATGGTGACTTCCACCAAGATGATAGTGGTAGAGATGCTGAGAAGTAGTCAGCTACCGGGTATATTTCAGAAGGTAAGCCAATAAGCTATCTTGATGGATTTGGGTATGGATTATAGAGGAAAAAGCAGACAAGGATGAATCCAAGGTTTTTTTCTAATCAACTGAACCAGAATGAGGGATTTGTCATTTACAGAGATGGAAAAGAGCATAAGGAGGAGTGATTATTGGAGGAAGAAGAATTCAGTGTAGAACATAATAAAAATGAGATGCGTATTGAACATGCAAATGGGAAATTTGAGTAGGAAGTTGGCTATATGGATCTGGAATTGAGGGGAAGAGTATGGGCTGGAGATAATGAATTTGGTATAATCAGTGTTTAAATATTATTTAAATGAAATTATAAAATGGAATTAGTCCATAAAAGAGGTAAGTATTGATAGAGAAGTGGTAAGAGACAGCCGTGGAGCACTCCCTTGTATGTCAGCAAAATAAGGATGAACTAGTAAGAGCAGACTAATAAGGTCAAATGATGAATAAAATAGGAAGAAAACCCACTGTATGTCTTGAAAACGATGTGTTTCAAGGAGAAATGTCAGCTATCAAATATTAAATCCAGTTGATTGGTCAAGAAGATGAAGACTAAGAATGACGATTGGATTTTATTGATGCTCATTGGTGATCCTGACCAGGATCATTTTCATTTGTATTTATATAAAGTGAAGATAAAAGACTTTGGAATAGATTCAATAGAGAATGGGAGGAAAAGAATTAGAGAAAATATGGGCACTTTTTGGCAGACTGTTTTCTTTCTTTGGGGGCCAGAGAAATGGGACAGTATCTGGAGGGAAATGTGGGGTCAGAAAAAGATTTTTTTTCAAAACAAACCCCAGCATTTTGGCCAGGCACTGTGGCTCATGCCTGTTATCTCAGCAGTTTGGGAGGCTGAGATGGGCAGATCAGTTGAGGTCTGGAGTTTGAGAGGACCCTGGCCAGCATGGCAAAAACCCCTTTCTACAAAAAATACAAACATTAGCTGGGCATGGCGATGCACACCTGTAGTTCAAGCTACTCAGGAGGATGAGGCAGGAGAGTTGGTTGAACCCAGGAGGCGGAGGTTGTAGTGAGCCAAGATTGCGCCATTGTACTCCAGCCTTGGTGACAGAGCGAGACACTGTCTGAAAAATAATAATAATTGCAGCATTTTGTATATTTATAGGAATGAGTTACTAGAGGAGAAATTGATGATGTGAGACAGGGGAGTTGTAGAACAGTGTCCTTTAATAAGGCCAGAGGGATGAGATGTAATGTGCAAGTGGAAGGGTTGCCCTTAAGTAGAAGCATGGACAACTCATTCATAAGAACAGGATGGAAGGCAGGATACAGGGCACCAGTGCAGATGGGGAGGTGGATAAGGGAATGGGAATAATTGAAAGTGCTCTTCTGATTGCTTCCATTTTTTCCCAGCAAAATAATATGCAGACATATCTAGTAAGAGTGAGCCTGTTGGAAATAAGAGGCCGTTGAAAGGTAGCATTGAGTGTTTGAGAAGAAAATAGGTCTGAAATAGTCTTTTGGAGCTGTGTGAATAAACTAGGTGAAAGGAGTAGCTTGACAGCTAGAGTGAAGTGTGGATCCAAGCTTTTTTTTTTTTTCCCAAGGTGAGAGGAATTACAGTGTTTTTATATGCGGATGGTAATGAGTTAGAGTACAAAATTGATGATGCAGGGAGAGAAACTGTACAGTACTATTCCTCATCTGGGTTTTGCTTTCCTTGGTTTCAGTACAATAAGATATTTGGAGAGAGAGAGAGAGAGAGAGACACCACATTCACATAACTTTTATTACAGCATATTGTTATTAGGTTGGTGCAAAAGTAATTGCGGTTTTGGATTGTGAAATTGAAATCATAACTATGCTCAAACACATCTTTATTAATCAAAATAGCAGCTATTACAATCAATACATTTTGCCAATGAGAAATAAGTTTGTTTATTCCTGTAGTGTAAAAATTCATGCTTTCGGATTTGACGAGCTCATGGAAAGCATTTTCTGTATGCTGCTGATTGTGGAAGCGTTTTCCCTGCAAAAAGTTGTTGAGATGCTTGAAGAAGTGGCAGTCAGTTGGCAAGAGGTCAGATGAATATGGTGGACGAGGCAAAACTTTGTTGTCCAATTTGTTCAACTTTTGAAGCATTGGTTTTGCAACATGGAGTCAGGCGTTGAGGTAGAGGAGAATTGGGCCCTTTCTGTTGACCAATGCTGGCCGCAGGCATTGCAGTTTTGGGTGCATCTCATCTATTTGCTGCGAATACTTCTTAGATGTAATGGTTTTGCCGGTATTCAGAAAGCTGTAGCGATTAGACCGGCAGCAGACCACCAAACAGTGACCATGACCTTTTTCTGGTGCAAGTTTGGCTGTGGGAAGTGCTTTGGAGCTACATCACTGTCCAGCCACTGAGCTAGTCATCTCCAGTTGTCATATACCATCCACTTTTCGTCTCACATCACAATCTGATAGAGAAATAGTTCATTGTTGTTGCTTAGAGTAAGAGAAGACAACATTTCATGATGTTTTTTTTTTTTTTATTTTCGATCAGCTTATGAGGCACCCACTTACTGACCTTTTTCACCTTTCTGATTTGCTTCAAATGCTGAATGACTGTAGAATGGTTGTTAATGAGTTCTTCAACAACTTCTCGTGTAGTTTTAAGAGGACCGGCTTCGATGATTATTGTCAGTTGGTTGTCAACTTCCATTGGCCAGCCACGGATATCGTCTCCTTTGTAAAACTTCTGTTAACTACCACTGTACTGTATGTTCATTAGAGTTCCTGAGCCAAATGTGTTGTTGATGTAGCAAGTTCCACTGCTTTATGACCCATTTTGAACTCAAATAAGAAAATTGCTTGAATTTGCTTTTTGTCTAACATCATTTCTGTAGTCTAAAATAAACAAAAACAGCAAGTAAGTCATTAGCAAAAAATAAAAATAAAAATAAAGCGAGAAGTGCCCATTAAAGTGATAAATAACTTAACCATGTTTATTTAAGAATGTATTCCAGTAGCAAACTGCAGATTCTAACAGTGCAAAAACCAGTTACTTTTGCACTCACATAATTGTTCTCTTTTATTATTGTTGTTAATCTCTTACTGTGTTTAATTATAAATTCTATGATAGGTATGTATGTGTAGAAAAAATATGTACATATTAAGTTCAGTATCATCCTCAGCTTCAGGCGTCCACTGGAGGTCTTAGAATATATCCTTCACTGAGGGTCTTAGAATGTATCCCCCAAGGATAAGGGGGAAGACTGCTGTATATTTTCAGCTTTTCTTGAGATTGATGGTCATGGGTTTAAAAGGAGACAAATCAGCTGCTTTTTGGGTGTTTCTGTGACTCTTGTCAGGCATATGAGAGTTCATGAAAATTAGCTAGAATTGGATTTAACAGAAGTTGATGTATCAGGCAATTATTAAAAAGGGATAAAGGGGACAGGAACATGAGTGTTTACTCAAGGGAGTTATCATAATGATGGGCCATTGGCTAAGAAGAGATGGAGAGCAAATATAGGTAAGTCGCAGCTGAAAGAAAGTAAAGAAAGAACGGAAGAACTAGCAGGGCTATCACTATTAAAAAACTAAAAATGAATAATTACCACTGCTACCTGTAGAAATTACCTAAGTTGTCAACACTGTTACTTTTTTACGTAAAGGACAGCAGCCACAACTCATTAGGCAAGTTTGTTTTCTAGACTCATCTTTATTTGATAAAAAGGATACTTTTCAGTCATTGTGAAATATTTCTCATAAAAAATATTTTTTTGTTTTATTCATCATATTTATGAAGATTGGATAGACATCTTTAAAAGTAAAATTGTATTGACCTTAGGGAGAAAACAATAAATGTTATTCATTAAGACATAATGCAGGGTGCACGGTAGATATTTAAGGCTTACCTGTACTACTGACCTAAGTACTGTATTTCCATTGTTTAAAATCTTAGATTGCCTTATTAATGTATAGATAAGTGTTGATATGCTTGCACAGAACTTTTAAAAATATTTTTTCATACTTTATCAATAGAAATGCCGGGTTTCCAACTTTCTGTACTGCCCAGCAAATTGGCATTGTTAAGTAAAATTTTATATTTAATATATCAGAATGTTTTGCTTAATCTTTGAAAGTTTTCATTTTAACTTTTTGTGAAATGTGCATACAGAAAAGTGGCATATCAGGAATGTACAGCTTGATTAAATTTTTACAAACTAAACATACGTAAACCAGGATGTAGACTGATAAAGAATGTCTCCATTACCCCTAGAAGCCCCCATTATGCCTCCTTCATTTGTTGTTGTCATTTGAAAAAAAAAGTTTTATTTTGACAAATATTTAAACTTACAAAGATTTGGAAAAAAAAAAAGTACAGAGAACTTCCATATACTGTTATTGAGATTTGCCGGTAATAACATTTTGTCGTATTTGCTTTATAATTTCTCAAAAACAATTATTGAGCGATTTGAATGTTAGTTGTAGGCATCATGACCCTTTGCCCTTAAGCACTTAAGCATGAATTTCCTCAGAACCAGGACATTCTGTTAGATAATCATAGGGCACAGTTATCAAAGTCAGAAAATCAAATAGTGAATCAGTACTTTCATCTAATTGCAAGCTATAAATTTTGCAAATTATCCCAATATCTTTTATGGCAATGTTTTCTTTCTGCATGGATTTAGTATTCAATCCAGGATCACTCATTAAATTTAACTATGTTATCTTTTTCTTTTTCTTAAATCTGGATCAGCTTCTTAGCTTTTCTTTGTATTTCTTGACACTGAATTTTAGAAGAGTACAACCTAGTTGTTTAGTAGATTGTTTTTGGGTTTGCCTGATCTTTTCTCATGATTAGATTCAGGTTTTGCTTTTTGGGCAGGAATACTATGTAAGTGATGATGTATCCTCAGTGCATTGGCTTGGAGATACGTGATGTCAGTGTGTAACATTATTTTATTAGTAATGATAATTCTAATGACTTAGTTGTGGTGGTATCCTTTGGGTTTCTGCAAAGTTACTATTTTTTCCTTTGCATTTAATAAGTAATTTGTGGAAAGACTAAATATCCTGTTCCTCTTCAAACTTTTAGAGATTTTAGCTCCAGTGATAATTTTTCCTTTAGTTAGTTATTACTGTAATGGCTCCAAAATAGTGATTATCTGTTATTTCTCTTAACATTTATTAGTTGGCATTCTGCTTTAAAAATGAGCTTTCCCATTTCACCACTTACCACTTTGATTCATAAATTCTTATTTAAGGTGTGGGAAACTGTATGTGTGACTTACAAATATAGCTTTTTTTGCATCCATGGTGTTTAACCCGTATGTATGATTTATATATACTGTAATTCATTTTGGTGTTCATATTGTTCCTCTTCCAACTTGCTCCTGTGACCTTTTCATAGGTCTCCATTATGTGTTTTTTTTTTTTTAGGTTGTCTTTATAGTTTGTAATTACCAGGATATTCCAGGTTTATCTTGTAGTTTCCCTGTTTCTTCCTTGGCAGCCATTTGCAAAGGCACTCTGATTCCTTTTAGCAGGGAATGGTAAAAAACAAGATCAGGGTTCTAGCTGTGCCCATTATACTGGGGGCATCGTTATATCCAGGCCTTTTCAGGACTCAGAGGTGGGAAAGAAGTGGCAATTTCATGATGAAATTGCCATGTGTGTTTTTCAAAATACATTTTAATCATGAAATCATAATGTTTCTTTTACTTCCATTTGAACATCACAGGATTGTTATTCCTATTTCCCTTTTCCTCTTCCATATTATGTCTCCTTTTTTTTTTTTTTCCACAATGAGAACCTGGCTCCCAGAATCTTGAAATACATATATAACAGATTCAGGACTTTTACTGTTACGAGAAAACCTATTTAATAGAGTTTAAGATTTGTTTACAGTTTTTTGTCTGTCTTTAGACTGAGGGTATATAGTTTAAATATTGGGTTCAAAAGTTTCCTACAGAGTTGTTATTTTAATAATTTAAAATATAATTTGGTCCATGATATCTGTATACAGTTTTAATATTTATTTTCCTTCCATGTTTACTGGATTTATTATTTTTGGCATATGTAAACCATCTAACAGTTCCAAAGGCGAGAGTATCCAAAGGTATATAGAAACTTACCACACCTTTCTCTGTTTCATTCATTTTCTGTCAGACAGATTTCATTTAATTTCTGGTCTATTTTTTCTGTGTTTCTTTTTACAGAAACAGATACATGAAAATGTATATATTTCCTATTGCTTTGAAAGACCATCTTATTAGTTGTTTAAAGTATTAACAATAGTGCAGATATCTGTACTTTTTAGGAAGTATGTCAACGGGGATAAAATTAACTTTTTTTGGGAACTTTACTTTGAAAGAGTTAAGTTATTTTGAAATGGAATTTTTATAAAATATTTAGTATAGGTTTTTATGAAACCCGTCAGAGTGTTACTGATAACTGGTTGCACTAACAATACTTAAATCTGTTGTTGAAGAATACAGGGAACGAAATACCAAAATTTGGAATAAGATTTTGTGAAACTGCAAAAATTAATGTTAAGAATTCGCACAGACACATAAATGTATTTTTTAAATAATGTATTGTAATCTGATGTAAACCCTTAGTTCTAAGATCTTTTCTCCTTACTGCATTGACATCATACTTTGTTGAAGAATATTTCTAAAAATATTCTAGAGTTAATACAGTGTTGATAGCACATGTATTTTTAAATACTTAGTACCACAGCAAGTAGTTTATATGACTTGAGAATGGTACTGTAGGAACATACTAAGGGACTTTAGAAAAAGCATGTCAAGGAAAAAAAAAAAAAAAGAGAACAAGGGGGGTCAGAGACAACAAACAATATGTAAGAAAAAACATAGAAAATTTATCTCACCAGAAACAGCACCTCTTCTCAGTCTCAGACAAGTACTGCCTCCAGAAAAGCCAATTCAAGCGTTGGGAAGTGGCAGGATCGATATGGGAGGGCCGAATCACCTGATCTAAGGTAAGGCTATTTTTAAACATTGGATACTCCCTGATGTTTAGATCATCAATGTTGTTTTGTCTTATTAGTAAGATAATAAATTTTGACTGTACCATATTTTTAACCCTCCAAATTATGCTTTCTCAGGGTACAGTTGTGGGTTTTTTAGTTACTGTATAAATCAAGACTTGGTTTGCTTGTCTTGCCACTCATCTTTCTGGCTGTTTAGAATATTTAATGAATTATATTGAACTGTGCTAATGGATGCTCAGTAAATTTTTTTATTCCTCCCCCTTGTTGCAGGTTAATTCTTTCTCATACCACATCCCATTAAAAAAAATTTCCAGGTGCTTTTCACTACTTATTGAATAAAACCTAACATTCTGAGCCAGTATTTGAGACCTGTAAAATTTGATTCTACTGAATCTTTGCAATCTGACACACTAGTACAGTGCAGTGCAAAAACCTGTGATTTCATTAAGTGGATATAGGAGCTGCCCTGGAATATGCTATTTCCCTTTTTGTTGTTATGCTTTTGTTAATGATCTACCCTCCATTGAATTTTGGTTTGTGTTCTGAATCTTAAATTTATAAAGCATACAACCTCGAATGGATATTATAATTTCTCTGAGCCTAAAAATTGAAATAATAACCTAATCTTTAAGAGATTCAGTGAGAAGCAACTATGTTCCAATATGAAAGTGCATTGCCCACAGTGATCGTCTGAGAGAGTTTGCTTTGATAACCTGACTTCAAAATACAGACCAAGATATTTACCTAATTTATCATTTAAGGTTTTAAAAAATTGTGGCATACCATGGGTAATTTTGTTTTTCTTTTGCTTTTGTTAGAGAATTTTCAGCAATTTACTTGGTTAGCTCAATGCTATATTAATATGTTTTAAATTATTTTAATTTAAAATCTTAAAAAATATAAATTTAAATTATAATCAGATACCTTTGATCATAGCACCCAAAAGAAAAGGGAGGAAACATTATCACAAATTGATTTTCTTATGTTTCATTTTCTATATAGTCTTAATTATATATTCCACATGAGCTGTAAGAATTCCTTGTTAGGAGAGAAGCTTAGTCATTCTTAAAAGTGGATATACATCTCAAAGTAAGGATGTCTAAACGTAAGTTTAGTAACTAATGTAGATAAAAATGTATTACCTGCATTCTTACAATAGTGTCAGTTGCATGTGTTACTTTAATAGGTTGAAGAAAGTTTTCATTGTATTATTTTGAAAGTACTCATTTTTTTCTATGTATTAAATAATACTGATCTTTGTTTTTGAACACTAAAATTCTGTTTGAAAAACGAATAGAAATTTCAAGAGTTATTTTAAGTAAAGAAAAGTTAAATCTGACAAATATAGAATGAAACGTATGAGTCTTTGCACATTGGACATTTCTGTGGAACCTAAAAGTTCATAATTGTACTAATAATACATTTTCTATACAACAAGTAACTCGATTATTGCATAGAGAAACACTTGGATTTATATTTAACCTGGCAGTGTGGAGAGCCTATTTACTGATCCTAAAAGGGCCAGACAATAAGAACTAATTGTAAACTTATCATCATGCTACTATTGATAGAATCTTAAACTTAGAACTTTTTTTATTGTGTTAAGTATTGGACTTGGATTTTACATTTAGTTTTTTCAGTAACTACCTGTGTGAGTTAAGGAAACTTTCCTAACATGTCTATGCATACATTTGTAACATAGTGGAGCTAGACTGTGTAATTTGGAAAGCCTCTTCAAACCTGAAATTCTTTATTTTCTGACTAGTCCCTGGTTTACAATGGAAAAAGAGATTTGAGAGATTAGAGAATTTGCCTGAATTCATAGCTAGTTAAGAGGCAAAACCAACACTAGAATACCTGCTTTTCTGCCTGTAGTACCAATACTTCAGGCAAGTTGACTTTCATAAACAAAGGCATAGAAATACTTAAAGTAGGCCAGCCTTGGTGGCTCATTTCTGTAATCTCAGCACTTTAGGAGCCAAGTCAGGTGGATCACTTGAGGTCAGGAGTTCAAGACCAGCCTGGCCAACATAGTGAAACCCTGTCTCTACTAAAAATACAAAAATTAGCCAGGTGTGGGTGGCAGGCACCTTTAATCCCAGCTACTTGGGAGGCTGAGGCATGAGAATTACTTGAACCGGGGAGGTGGAGGTTGCAGTGAGCCAAGATCGCACCACTGCACTACAGTCTGGATGACAGAGTGAGATCCTATTTCAAAAAAAAAAAAAAAAAGAAATGCTTAAAATATGTTATTTTCGATGTAATTTTAAACTTTATGTTTGTTTCTTTGGCTTTGTTGTTTTAACATCAGAAATTCCTTTTATATCTGTTATTTGACTTAGAACATTTTACTTAAAATTGTTTTACTTTAGATATAATACTTTATTTTTGGACACCAGATGGCTAATTTTTAGAGAAAATATTGGTTCCCATAGCTGAAAGAGATACGTCTCAGAGCTCTCTCTCAACTGCATCTATACCTACTTCTCTCTAAAAAAGATGCTTGACTTTGTAATTAGTCTCAGGGGATATATGTAGAAGGAAATTTGAGGCTGTGTTTCCATTATGTGTTTTGTTCTTTAGAAAGTTCCAAAAACAAATACCTTGGATAAAAGCTGCTTTTTTTCTCTTTTTAAACACACACATGCACACGCACACACACACACACGGCTACTTTTTCTCTTTTAAAACATACACACGCTCTCACTCTCACTCTCACTCTCTCTCTCTGGAGATGTAAAAGAACTGGATTTCAAAAGCTCTTCTAGTTAAAAGTAACTGCCAAGTGTAGAGTTTGAGGCATTGCATAAATGTTCGTAAAGAGCAAGTAAATAATGATTAAGATATTTTTCATAAATTGTTATATTTGGGCGGGGTGCTGCGGCTCATGCCTCTAATCCCAGCACTTTGGGAGGCTGAGGCGGGTGGATCACTTGTGCTCAGGATTTCAAGACCAGCCTAGGCAACATGGCAAAACCCCAACTCTACCAAAAAATACAAAAATTAGCCAGGTATGGTGGTGTGCACCTGTGGTCCTAATTACTTGGGAAGATTACTGGACAGGGGAGGCTGCAGTGAGCTGTGATCATGCCACTGCATTCCAGCCTGGGTGATGGAGCAAGACCTATTCTCTAAATAAACAACTATTATTATATTTGAAGTTGTGGCCTTATCATATGCTAGTTACTATTAATTTGTGCAATACAGTGTTTTCCAATTCAACAGTATTCTTCAAGCTAAATCTGTATGTATAACAATGGCATTTTATTGGTGTAAGTTTGCTTTGTAAATTCAAATTTTAACTCTTATGAAATGAATTAGAAGAATGAAGCAGTTTTAGTGAGTGCAGGAAATTGAAACTGGTAATAATGGATGATTGGTGTAAACTTACCCTAATGCACTGTTTATTTTTAAATTTTGTTTCCATTTTATGCTACCAAGTTCTGTTCCTCTTAGATAATTAAATTTCAAGTGATAGTTTATTTTTCTTAAGTTTATGTTCCTATATCGAAATGTTTTTTTAACTGATTCATACTCTTGAATGAATAATAAAAATTGCTCTTCAATGTTAAATCACAAATACATTTAAATATGTGTGTATTTCTTATATTAAACACAATACTTACAATAAAACTGGATGTTAAATGAACATTATATCTAAGAATGACCTCTTCCTCTGTTCTTGGACTATCTACTTTTATGTCTTGATGAGACACTATACTGAAAAGGTGTGCCTGTACCTTGGGGCATTGGATCGTGGGCTCTAAATGTGTGTTGTTATAATATGTAGCTTGTAAGATTTTATGTTATTGGACATATGAAGGCCTTGGGAGTTTTTTTGTTTCTTGTAGAGCTGTGTCTTTTCTTATCATTGATACATTTAAAAGCAAGCATAAATATGGAAGGTAGAGCTTTATTCCAAGCTCTGTACAAAAGTGAGTAAACTTATTTACACTACTGAACACATTTGTGTCCTCCATTGAGTGAAATTTGAGCTTATTTCACCTTTAGGCACTCAAGGTTTTTAGTTTTGTTTTAAATAGAGCTTAAAAAGTAATTGACATTTTAAAAATTCAGCTCTTAGAAAACTAGTGTGAAAAACATTGTTGAAGAAAGAAGGGGGTTTGAAGTTGGTTATGCTGAGCCTGAATCCTAGTGCTGCCACTTCATAGTGCAAAACAGCCTCTTTCCACATCTGTGAAAATGAAACTAGTTGGACATGTACTTTACTTTGTACTTTTTCAAGACAGAGTCTCACTCTGTTTCCCAGGCTGAGTGCAGTGGCGGGATAATGGCTCACTGCAGACACAAGCTACCAGGCTCAAGCAGTCCTCCCACCCCAGCCTCCTGACTAGCTGGGACTCCAGGCATGCCTACCATGCTTGGCTAATTTTTTATTTTTTGTAGAGATGGGGTCTCACGATGTTGCTCAGGCTGGTCTTGATCTCCTAAACTCAGGTGATCCTCCAGCCTCAGCCTCCCAAACTACTGAGATTAAAGGTGTGAGCCACCAAGCCTGGCCCATTTACCTTAAATGTGATGTACTTGTAAGGATTGAATAAGTTCTAAGCTTGTGAAAACACCTATTTCAGGGCTTGAAAGATTAATCAGACACACTCAGTGAATGTCGGATCTCCTCTTTGATCATGGGGTTTATCAGTCTCTTTAACTGTAGTACTGATTGAAAATAAATTACATGTCCAGAAGACGATGGTTTGAATTCTGTAATTTTTATTTTAGGTTAGTTTCTTTTTCTGGACAGGATTTTTTATTAATAATATGTTACTTGAATATTAGAATATATTAAATTTTCTTTATAAATTGTATATTATACAGAAAATTATTCTTGTGCTTGTGAAAGTGAAACATAACACACAGTATAGAAACAGTACCGTGTCAGACCAGCCATGTTGCCCAGGCTGGTCTCTAATTTCTGGGCTCAAATACCACAAAGCTAAAAGATCAGTAGAAAAATATGTAATCGATGA